TAATTTAGCAATTTTATTTGTATTTTAAATTTTAGTAATTAAAATAAAAAGTTGATGAGCTAAATTCACAGGTAATAGATAGGCAAAAGTCTTGTACCGTGCCATCTACATTTTAAACTAATAATTATTGATCTATTTAATAATTAAGTCGATAAGTCCATCAAACACTCTGCTAGATATAGATTTACAAGGGAAAAAAAAAGAATAGTAATAATCAATAATAATTAATTAATTAATTAGTGTAACATTCTTCATATATGAATATATATATGTAAAGTATATGTATATATCTACAACGTTCTGCACTGATCACAGATATCGGATGAAATTACTATTATTTATATCTAAGTAAAAGTGTTACGTCACAAAGTCTATGTAAGACACTCACATTCACGCATACATACATACATACATACATACGTACCTACCCCCCATACATGTTTGTATGTACATATATCGTCCTTCGAAATAAATGTTCCGTATTACCTCCCGGCCGGCCCGCCCCCTGGCCACGTTTACGTGCATTTGGTAAATTACTTTTTTATAGAATTAATTACAGCATATTTTAATTAATATATTAGTCGAATAAATAATTTTCCTATTAATTTGTCCTTCGATTATTGTTATTATTATTAACATTATTTACGTCAACATCACTATCATTGTTGCACTGGCGTCGGTACGACACGTGCGCTCACATCGGAGTCTCCCTGTAGTAAGGGTTGACCGTTTTTATGGGTAGAGGGTGCGCCTCGGTGTTCAAAACCCAATCGTCCAACGATATCAGGTTGTCGTCCGAGAACAGTAGGTACAAATACTGAAACGAGACGACGATACAAGAAAATGCATTAAAAGAAATGTTACGATTAAATAGAATTATACTAAAAATGATGAGAAAAAGATAAATAGTTATAAATGTTAGGTAAAAGGAACTGTAAATTCAAGGGCCTGACTATTCTCTTTTATAAATGGAATGCAGTCGTTGGGAGACCATCTTACATAACATCTTCATATTATACGAGTCCAGAAACATATTATTTGGTCCAATGGAAAGAGCGAATATAAATATAGGTGACTAAAAATTAGAAGGAGTGGCTCATTTTAGTTATCTAGGAAGTCAGAAAAGTCAGGACGAAAGGAGTAGTAGGGATATAAAGCAGAGGACTCGATAATTAAGAAGAAGTCACTTCTATGCTCACGAACAGTTAATTTAGAAATTCGAAAAAGATTGTTAAATGTGTATGTTTGGAAAGGGGGTTCTACGGGTGTGAAACGTAGATGGTGGGCGCTGCGGAAAAGAAAAGGTAAGAAGCCTTCGAGATGTGGTATTACAGGCGAATGATGAGGATACCGTGGATAGAGAGGGTTAGAAATGAAGAAGCAATAGAAAGAATAGGAGAAGAGAAGACTCTAAAGTGAATAAGAAATAGGCGAGATGGGTTGGTAGGACACCTTCTCCAGCGTGAAGGTCTAGACATTTTAGAGACAGAAACGGGAGTTAGGAGGGGTAGAGGTAGACCAAGATTAAATTACTGTTCGCAAATAGTTAAGAATGTGGGATGTTCTAGTTTTAGGGAAATGCGAAGATTAGCTCATGATAGGAAAGAGTGGAGGTGCGTGCCCAACCAGTCTTAGGACTGACGACCTTTTGATGATGATACGGAACATACAGAAGGAAAATAAACAAAGCAATATTTCTTAAACAAAATTTCATATCATATCATTTCATTTGCACCAATACATAAAAACCGTGTTTCCTTTATCGTACCAGCCTTGATTAAAACAGAACAATTGCTAATTGTTGATTGATTGCAATTGATTAAAATCATGGTGCGATATAACAAATTATGCAATGACTTGCGTATTGTTATCATTAGTTTACTGATTAGTTTTTTTATGCTAAAGCTGCCAATGTGTTTGCAAACTTATTGCTAATGTAATTGGCTGATTGAATGTAATAGGATTTCTCCTTTGTCCTTGAAAAAGGACATGGGCCAAACGATATGTTTCTGGGCTCGCATGAGATACTTATTGTCAGGAAATTGTAGGTGATAAAAAAATAAAGTAATGACTTGGCCACATCATATATGATTCTCGGCTAGTAATTGATGGTTAATGACAAGAAGTTTTAATTTTTAAATGATTAAAAAACAACAAACAGGACTTACCTTCAACGTTTCAGCTAAGAAGAAACTTTGCTGAACATCGTCAAGTCCAGTTTCTTCGTTGTACACGTTTTTAAGTCCCGAATATCCTCCGGGAACCCGACAATACTTATCCAGTGCCTGCAGATTATTATTTATCAGAAAGTTAAAAGTAAGTAAGAAAATTTCCTGATGAAATGCTAAGAAGAGGAAATTCACATACCTTGGCTGCCTCCCAACCCCATTCCCTGTACTTCTGGTCTTTGGTCAAACGATACATTATGAAATACGATTCTATAACTTCTGGTCTCAACAAATATTGTTTTTCGTTCATTTTTAAAGCGCGAGCTTCTAGAGAATCTGAAAATCTGAACGCCTCTGGTCCCAGTTTCACGGCAGTTCTATCGTAAGATTCGTGACAGGTGTTCGTAATTTTTTCCGCAACATCCATGTACTTTTCAGATAAGTCGTTCTTTAAAGTCTTTGCAGCAAGGGCAAAAAGTCCACCTGAAAATTAAAACAGGGTATTCATATAACAAGCGAGGTACAAAGAATTATGTATTATAAATTTTATAGAACGAAATTTTAATAAATGTTATTTTATGATCTATTTGTCAATGCATTTCAACAGGGGAGCGATTTACGTTTTAGTTGAGTTTACTGGTAGTTTCATTAATTTTCTGTGTAGTAAAGGAAAAAGTTAGAAGCGTTTGAAATGTGGTGTTACAGGCGACTGATGAGAATACCATGGATAGAAATGAGGAGGTGTTAGAAAGAATGGAGAACAGAGGTCACTATGGAAATCAATAAGGAAAAGGCTAGATATATTAGTAGGATACCTTCTCAGGCATGAAGGGCTATCTGGAGATATTAGAAGCACAAACAGGAGTTAAGAGGAGTACAGGAAGACGTAGTTTACAAATAGTTAAGGATGTGGGACGTTCTAGTTTTAGGTAAATGCGAATATTAGCTCAGGATAGCAAACAATACTTCAAACTATGTAAACAAAATGAGATATTAACTTGAAATCCACACGTAGCATCTAAATTTTTATCTCTGAGACGGATGTTATATGTGGAGTCAGGCCTTATATGCAAAAGTGCCAAGAAGTTTTTTAATTCCATCCATGTTTCTGGGGTATTGTTGAAAAAGGCTTTACAAGCAAAACTACTCTACTTAAATTAATAATTTGGAAGAATATTCTAGCTTTACGGATAACAATAAAGAAAACGATAGGAAAAAAAGAGTGTGCACATAGGACTTGTAGATTTAGAAAAAGCTGTTGACAATGTTAAATGGGACAAGATGTTAAATATATTTAAAAATGTAGGGATAAGTTACAAAGATAGAAGAGTGATGCTTAGCTTGTATAAAGAGCAACATGCAGTTATAGAACTAGGACCATAACGTAGAGAAGTAAATATTAGGAAGGAAGTCAGACAGGGATGCACACTGTCACCGTTAATTTATAATCAATACATCGAAGATACCATCAACTTCATTTTAAAAATAGCTTTAAATAAAATGGAAACGGTATTGACAAAACAGTACTGTATGAAAATAAATAAAAGTAATACAAAAATACTGGTATGCAAGGGAAGAACAACTAGGGAAAGAATGAATATAAAGCTAGGAGACGAAAAATTAAAAGATATTAGAAAGAACAGGAGAACAGAGGACTCTATGGAAGTCAATAATAAATAGGCGAGATAGATTAGTAGTCAGAGACATATTAGAGGCAGAAACGGGAGTTAGCAGGGGTAGGCCTACAATACGAAGATTAGCTCAGGATAGGAAAGAGTGGAAGTGCGTGTCCAACCATTCTTAGAACTGATGATGATGATGATGAGGAATATCAAAATCGTTGTTTTTGGACTTGTTTTTTTCCAAATTAGTCAAGGATGAGCTCAAACTGATATATAATGCTGCCTGCTTCAGAATTAGGGTAAAATCCAAGTGCTAAATATGTATATTTCATTCGCTTTGGGTCAACCCATGCACCTCTTTAAAAACATTAAAAATGCTCGAAGTTGAACGAGTTTGAGCCAAGAGAATCTTTTCTTAACTGAACGAAACGCTTCTGACTTCTAAATTAATACTTTAGAGGAATATCAAAATCATTGCTTTTGGACATGTTTTGTTACCAAATTAGTCAAGGATGAGCTGCAACTAATGTATAATGTTGCCTGCTTCAGAATTAGTATAAGAATAATAATAAAAATAGTTTATTTTACAACGGAACGGAACCCCTGTCTGGCGAGTCTGGTTCGCACTCGATTGATTTATTGTTTCTGTCTGAAACTTTCAACAGTTTTATTACTTTATAACTTCGCCTTTAAAACTGTTATTCATCATAATTATTTTTACCGCAAACAAAAAATGTTTTTTTTTGTTTTTTATTTTATGTCGTCGCGAAATATTGGTAAATGTGTTTTTTATTACCGTTTTTCCCCATAGGTACGTATTTATTACCTGAGAAACATGCCAAGTGGTCCATTTTGTGTTCCAAACGATCGAACTTGAGTTCGGCAAAGTAAGTGAGACCACCTGCCGACTTTTGTAACATGTTCTGCATAACTGCTTGCATCGAATCATCGAAAAGTTGTCTGGCTTCGTCGTCCTCTTTGTTCGATTGTATCCACGCTTTCAATAGGTACTCGTAAAAACTGTCTCCCAACGCACCCATCGATATATGATCTAAAAATCGATTTTGCATGTATTAAATGATCCATTGTCCAACATGCAAATTCCACTCCAAAGTAGGAATCGGAATTTTTAATGTTTAAGGAGGCATTCAAATATTTAAACATACATACAATTTAGAGAACTTTTAGAAGTGAGTTAGTTTAATATGAAATATTAATCTGAAAATTCATTTTTGAATTTTTTACCTACTACACGCTACCTCAATTTAATGAGGGAAAAATTGTTGCCGCCGGGAATCGAACACGGGACCTTTGGCTTTACGCACCAATGTTCTGACCACTAAACTACGAGAGTTGACAACAGCAACAACTACCAATCGACCAAAGCCAAAGGTCCCGGGTTCGATTCCCGGCGGGGGTGTGACAACAGCAACAATTTTTCCCTCATTAATTTGAGGTAGTGCCGTGTAGAGGGTAAAAAAATTCAAAAATGAATTTTCAGATTAATATTTCATATTCAAATATTTGTTTATAATTTGATTTGAACATCCAAATAAAATATTTCAGTTAAATATTCAACAAATCCATCTGATATTTGAAAATCCAAATTTCCAAATTAAATATTTGAATAAATTTTAAATATTGATACATGATGTTTTGAATGCAATTTTAAAAAATTACATCTTCTTTTGCATTAATTTTAAATGATTGAATATTTGAACATTTAAATATTTAAATTGCAAATATTCTCTTACGTTGACCCCATTTTCCTGTTTTCGGATTCAAATAGTTGGGATAAAGTCCTTTAGGTTTGTCCAAGGTTCGAAGAAATTGGCGAATGTGGTCGACTTTATTCCTGTAGATCGGATTTCCGGTCACGTCGCTCAGATACGCGAATTCGAGGTGCAGTGTTCCAAATTCGGACAGGATACTACCACCATTGGCCCACGCGTAGTTTTTACTTGCCTAAAAATTTGACAAAAAAGTTAATTACATATTTATATACATATTGTATTTATTATTGAAATAAAAAGATTGAAAATTCAATTTGCTATCGAAAAGATTGGAGGATTTTTAACACAGTATGCAACTGCCGGTGAAATTTAAGATGGCGGCTCGTCGCCATTCTGGAGTTATTCACCCAGGTTGTTTCTAGAACAAATCACTTATTCCGTTATCCACTATGTATACATATTGTTCTTTCTTGTTACCTGCGGGTACCTGATCACTATAGAGATGCGATTTATTTAAAATATTCCCATTTAAAATGCAAATACAAAATACCATTTACACTTTTTTGAGAAAATCAATTTTATTTTATTTAAAATACCTTTCCAGGCGTATGTATATTCAGTTTGCAAAATGCAAAATCCTTTTTTGGCGTTAAATTTTGCTTTTGTTTATCACCTATCAAACGTTATATGTATAAAATGGACGAAAATTGGTCATTGAAGCTATTAGAAGGTTATATGGAGGCAAAAGGCCTTCTAACCCTTGGACTGAAGAGAGTACAAAAAATTCTAAACTCCTTGGAAATGGATAATCCAAAATATTGTGAATTTGATATTGCTTTCCGGTTTGCATTCTCGTGGTCCATGGAATTTCGCAGTTCCAACTTAACACACCTTCCAGATCTCCAGTGAAGGTGCCTTTTGGCGAAACGTTTCGAACTACGAAATTCCATGGACCTAAAGAAACTATGAATTCCATTTCTTTTTCTTATTCCAATGTCGAAAAGATCAAAACTAAAATGAGGATTTATGTTAAAGGAACTATTTTGGCATCAGCGTCATACCCTTTTGGCAAATGAAAACGGGTGCTAAAGGTAAATAAGGGAACATGTACAGGAATTGCTTGTTGCTATACTGAGAAAATTAGAACATAAAGATATAGAAAATATATCTCAATCATTTCAAACAAAAAAAGAAATGAGAAAAAAAGTCTTAGTATCGATTTAAGAAAAATATTTTGTAAATACGTATTTTGCATTTAGCATTTTAAATACAACAGGGGAAACTATTTTGTATTTTACATTTGAAATAGCAAATCAAAAAGTATTATTTTGCACATCTTTATAGATCACCCACCTACTATGTTCGAATATAAAAGGAAAAGTGACTTTCGGCTATAAAACTTTTATTTTTACACCTTTTCACCCGCTGTGGCCTCTTCAGGTAACAATAAAAGTTCTGTAACCGAAAACCTGTTTTTTTCCTACATATTTGATATAAAGTTACAACGAATAAAAGCCTCATCGTTTCCGTTTTATTAGAGGTCAGTTTTCTTTAGATTATGCTTCAAGACAGAAAAATCATCAACTTACCCCAGTTTTAAAATTGACCAAAGCGTTAGGAATACCGGTCGGTGTGTTGAACGCCGGTAGTAGTTTGTCTGCAATTTCTTGAGCTTTGTTTCTGAACAGTACATCGCCGGTTAAGGCGAAACACGCTAACAAACCACCCACGAACCTAATGTTCACTTCGAATACTGATGCGTCTGAGTACTGCAATAAAAAGAAAACAAAATTAAACTTTTAAAGAAATTGTGGCGACAAAATCGATCATGCCTTTCAACCAACGCGACTTCAAAACAAAAAAAAAAGAAGGTTCTCAATTCGACTGTATTTTATTTGTGTATATGGCACACGATTTCTTCGCCGATTGTTAACTAGGGTTGTACCGGATGTACATTAGCGGATAGGAATGAAAATGTGAACTTTAGTGAGGTCCAGCTTGTTGATGCGGATAAGGATGAGGATGATATGAATGCTCATACGGATATATCGCTTTTCTATGAAAATACTTATTAGTAGCATCGTTAAGGTCATATTACACTACGCGGCGCATTGAGCGGCAATCTACTCGCTGCGGATGCTCCATGCGTAACCCATTAACCGTTGTACACTCCTTATAAAACTCCTGTTACAGGATGCATAGAATGTCAGTCTATTATCTGTGTAACAGGTTCGGTGCAGCCTGGAACGAGAAGGCGCGCCCTAGCGGTTAGTTTGACTTCTTTTAAGGACGGCGGAGCTCGCGTGGAATGCCGATCCACGCTCCACGCGTCGTCTCACATGACCTTAAGGCCTCTGTTAAACAACGCGTGAAATGCCGATCCACGTTACGCGTAAGGTCCCTGTTACAAGACGCGTGGAATGCCGATCCACTTTACGTGTTAGGCACCTGTTACACCACGCGTGGAATGCCGATCCACGCTACGCGTTAGGTACCTGTTACACGACGCGTGGAATATCAATCTACCCTACGTGTAAAGGCCCTATTATACGACGCGTGGAACCATCGATCCAGGCTACGTGTAAGGTTCCTGTTATACGACGCGTAGAATGCTCGAGCACCGTCGGTAAATGTTATAGATATAAAAAAACTGTATTTAAACTTTCTACATGCATAACATATGTAATTAACATAAACATATAGGTTAGATTTGATACGCAGATGCGTTTTATTGACATTTACCGACGATACTCGGGAAAGAACGCGCCAGGTTGATTTTGTGTAGCTCCTAAACTCGCCGATCTCGTTTCACGAAGAGTGGATTGACGCTCCGCAGTAAATAGCAAGTAGTACACGCCGCGCGTTGATTGCAACTCCACGCGCCCTACGTTTACAGACCGTGGCGTGGATCGGCATTCCACGCACCCCCTGCCATCATGAATAGAAATCAAAGAATGCGTTGGTATGCCACTCCACGTGCCATGTAACAGGGGGCTTTTGGCGTTGGGTGGATTAAACAGTTTAAAAAAAAAATGTTTTTCAGAGAATCTGGTAATTATTCTATTTAGCCGTTCATGATGTTAGTCAACCCAAATCACAATTTTTAAATTTTTGGTGTGCGCGTTTTTGAAATTTTAAATAAATAATAATAACGAGTTATAATATTTTGTATTCTACGTAATATAATTTAACTTACCATGTCATCTAAGTGAAGATCATTAATAACCCAGTCTCGGGCTTTGTCGAATTCATCATGTAATCCCATAATATAAAGGGTGTCGAGGCCGTCAAGGATGGTAGCACCTATCGGCAATGTATTGAACACACTTCCACTGTGTGGTTGTCGGCTAATTGGCCGTAATTCGTTCTTTCCCCAGGCGTACTTCTCATATCCTTCCCAGGCATGTTTCATCATCTGTAAAGAATAAACAGTTCAAAATTTGAATTTTTACAAAAACGATCAATTATTCGCTTCATACATAAATTTGAGTGATAAACGTAAGGGACGCATAATTTTACAAATTTTACCCTCTATTAGAGAATATGTTTATATTTTAGCCACTTATTTAACAGGTAATGTACTCGTGTTTAATATATATTGACATTTGAAAGGACTCCTCACAATCCTTATGGAAAATAAGCTCCGGTCAAATTAGTTGCAATTGAAGTACGTATATGATGTTCTTTATGACTTTCTGATCAAAAGTTATCGTAAGCAAGGAGTCAAAAAATAAAGTTTCTGAGCTGAAATAATCAAACCTCTGAAGATTTTCTAGAAGGATTCCCTTTATTTTAGCGTCGCTTATTGAACTAACAAAAACTAAAGAAAGTGAAATCAGTCTATTTTTCTCAAACGTCTCGTAAATTATCTTATATTAATTATAAAATTTGTTCCTAAGATAAATTTACAATATATTACCTTCACCAAATGTAAAATTTCGATAAGAAATGACAGCAATCACAGCGGTTGGTTAATAATCCCTCATAAATCACCTTTATCTACATAAAGGTGGTTGTCTATCTGAATTATTTTGGATAATACAGTTCAATAAAGCAATTAAAATATATCTAATTTGAAAAAAATGGGGTTTCACATTTTCATTAAATAAACAAAGTGAACTGTCAGTTATCTAAAGCTTCTCAAAAACAAGTAAACTGTTCATATTTACGTTATTAATCGTTTTGTATCAATGCAGCCGCTTAGTTATTATCGCAACTCGCTGTACTAATACCTGTGATGCCAATTCACGACCAGGACCGGCTTCGGATTGTAACTTTTGGTATACTTGCAAATTTTTTACCCCTTACTCAAACTGCTTTACATTTACGTTATTAATCATTCTCTATCAATGCAACTGCTTAGTTATTATCGCAACTCCTTGTACTAATACCTGTGATGCTAATTCACGCCCAGGACCGACTTCGGATTGTAACTTTTGGTTTATTTCAAATTTTTTACCCCTTACTCAAACTGCTTTACATTTACGTTATTAATCATTCTCTATCAATGCAGCTGCTTAGTT